TGGTTATGTGACTATCACAGAGGCTAGTGAAGAAAGTTGTGTAGTTTTAATTACTACCTTTGTAATTTCCTTTATTGGAGCTCATTAATGTGCTTTTGTCTTCTAGCTACCCTAGAGGTCCCTCTGGGTCTGTGTCAGTCACTTATTGGTCAAATGTTGTGCTTACTTTCCTTTGTTGCACTTTACTAGTTGTGTATGCAGCTTGGAATTTATGATCACACTTCAGTTAGCTACAGTTTTTGGCTCTGCATTGATTTAGGGACATGGAGCCTGGATTTCCCTCACTCATCACTTGAGAGTGGGTTTGGCCCTGGACGTGCACTTCGTGTTCCAGACTAAAAGAATGAGTGTGATTTTAGTGATAAAGGCCTTCTTAGGATTTGTTCCTGGCTTGCAGTATCTTATTTTCCAGCCAGTGTTTGCTCAGATGCTGTGATAAGCCTATGGTGCCAGGAGGGTCCTGTGTTGGTCAGACTGATCTGAGTGAAACTCAGGGATTGTTTCAGGACCAGCCTACATTCTACTGGGATGAGCCCTGGGTGGGTATGGCCTAGTGCATCAATACTGCCTTTCTAATCCTCAGAATTGACTGTGACCTCAGAGACACTCTCCTTGGTCTTCTGGGCTCATTGCCTGGTTAACTTCAGGCTGCACCATTCAGCTGTGAACCTCCTTGACTGCTCTTTACCATGGCCTCTACTGAGTTCACACACTTTCCAGGCACAGGCACAGCTGCAGATCTCCTTCCCCTCAAGGTCTGCCATTCCCTTGCACAAAGTTCAGGTCTCCACACCGGACTCGAAGGTAGGACCCTTTTTGGGCATGATACTTCAGCTCTGCCGTTGAGCTCTGAGGAGGGTGCTCTGGCTTACTTCTCCCAGTACGGTGTCTCTGTCCTGTGAGAGCTGGGCATGGGTAACCAGGCCCACATTCTTGGTCCTCCATGGAGCCTCCTCACAGGCAGAAGGGGGAAATAGTCCGCCCAGCCAGTTTCTCTCTCCAAGTATCTGGGGAGGAAATGCCAGTGGCCCAAGCCCTCCCGACATGAAATACAATTGGGGGAAGAAGGAATCTCCTACTCTGCTATATCTATTCAGAATACAGGATCCAAAGTAAAGCTTCTAGAACCTGGCATTACGGGGAAAGGAAAGGAAGTATGGTGCAGATGCTACTGACTCAGGCTGTTCTTATCAATATTTGTATAGTCACCCCTGAATTTCCACTAGGGATTGGCTCCAGAATTGCCTTGATATCAAAATGCATAAATGCTCAAGTCCCTTACACACAGTGGCATAGTATTTGGCTATAACCTATGCACATCCTCCTGTATACTCTAAAAACTTCTAGTTTATCTATATTATCAAATGTAATGTGAATGCCACGCAAATAGTTGTTTAGGCAATGATAAAGGTCTGCACATGCTTGGTACACTCACTGTTCTTTTTTCTTTTTCTGATGTTTTTGATCCACTGCTGAATCTGTGGACACAGAGCCTAACAGTAGGGAAAGTTGACTATATCTTTCTTCCGTTTCTCCATTGGCTACCATTGGAACAATTTCCAGGACTTTAAATGACAGAAACAGTGAAAAAAAGTTTTCCCTACCCAGTTTAGATTATACTGAGAAGAGTTCCCACTATGCTATTTTTGGTCCCCAAAACCTCACTCATGGCCCCCTTGGTGTGCCACGGAGGAGGCAAGTGTGAAGGCGCCGCTGGGCACAGCGTCCCAAGGCCTTGGACACAGGTGCACACAGCCTGCACCCCGCGATGTCCATGCAAGGATTTCTCAGTACTAAGCATACAGTGAACCTGAGCGATCTGCTCCGTCCCATGAACACCAAACCAGTGTGTGAGATTTTATTTCTAGTAAGTGAAACATGTGAGCTCAAATTTTTAGTCTTACCTCAGTAAAACATTCAAAAAAATGTATACGTTCCTCCTAAACAATGTTAATGTTTGCACAAACAATTTACCCAAAATTTCAAAACTGTATTTATGTTTTAAAAAACTGCCTGCACTACCACATTTAAAGGTGTGTAATTTACTTTAAATTTCAAATTTAGGACAATGTTATAGTATAATTTAGTATAGTATAATTTTAGTATAATACAGTATTTTGAGCTAAAAACTTTAAAAGTGGGACAAGTATGTTGGGGTCCTTCTAACATACTCAGGCAAATCACCCAGTCTCTCCATGGTTTGCATTAAACCAGTGGAAATTTGTAAGAGTAGTGGCCTCAGACTTTCTCTTCCCATTTTGTTCTCCGCACATTCACATACCAGTTTCACAATTTCTGCGGCACTACCACGATTTTCACATATTTAGCTAGTACCTGCACTTAGCTAATAGGTTTTTTTGCTGACACATTTTAAACTATCTCTTTCTAGGAGTGGGAGTGTGGCTCAGCCGCAGAACACCTGTGCAGCACACGAGGCTCTGGGCTCACCCGCAGAACCAATAAATAGTACCTCCTTTAAAATGTACGCATTTTAAAGGCAAAAAATGTTATCAGTGATGCAGATAGACAATTCATAAATATAATGAAACAAAAGCTGTTAAAATTGTAGCTGGCCAGGTATGGTGGTGCACACTTGTGATCCCAGCACTCAGAGGCTGAGTTAGGAAGATTGTTGCAAATCCAAGGTCATCTTGGGTTACAAAGTGAGTTCAAGGCCAGGCCTAACTGCAAAGTGAGATAGTGTCTCAAAAAGACGTAACAAAACAAAACAAACATAAATAAAATTGTAGCCAGCTACTGTTAAAGGTTCTGAGCTTGTACTGCTTTCTGTAAAAACAGAACTGGGAAACTGTGAGATCAGCTCTTTAATCATGGCTGTTTGTCATGAGCACGTTATACATGGTGCCCCTTAGCAGTCATAATAGCCGTATGAAGTAGAATGTTCCCACTGTTTTACACAGCAGGAAACTCAGGCACAAGACGAGGAGATGGAGGACTCAGGATTCACAGAGGCAGGCTGCAGCCTCATTTCCCACCACAGGGCAGAGAATTCACTCTGCTGCACACGAGCTGCCGCGGTGCTAGGGCGGCCACACGCACAGCACACGTCTGCCTGCATCCTGGAAACCCAGGTCTGGGGAGATGATCACAGATAACCCCGGGCACGGAGGCTCCCTTTCACACTCAGGCCGCTATAGACATGCAGCACACGCTGTTTCCCTTGTAGAGACTCGTATGTTCCATCGGCATCTAAAAGGGCCTAAAAGTCCTGCAGAAAAGACTCCTCAGCTTTTTTTTAACACAGCACTTCACAGACTTACTGGATCTCAGGAAAGGGGAGCACAGTAGTGTCACAAAGGTTTCCAGGAACAGTCTGGGAAACTGGATTAGGTTCAGTGTTTAGAATGACATTCAGTTCACTAAAATGTATTGCATGCATACAAAAATAAAGGGGTATTTTTTTTCCTGAAAAGAGCTCACAGTAGTCAGTCGAGTTCTCTCATTAGGTATGTTTCCTCAAGTTGTAACCCAGATATTGGCAAAAGTTCACCTGCTTTCAAAAACCTCATGCAGTTCATCCCACTCCTTTCCCAGGCAGAGCAAGAGCAAATCTCAGCAGGTCCCACCTGTCCCACTGATGGCCTCAAGCAGTCATGGGAAAGGTACCTTCAGCATGGGGACTCACCATAAAAGCAGGCTTCATGTGTTAGGTACCCTGCAATCAAAGTTCAGTCAGTAAATCTGGAACCTATTTCAAAGGCTCACAATATGTGGGGGAATAGCTTTGAGAGGAAGTAACACTTGTAATAAAATAATGCATTCCCCCCCACACACACTTTTTCTTGGAGGTGGGGTTTCCCTAAGCAGTTCAGGCTGGCCGTGAATTCACAGCAATCCTCTTACCTCAGCTTCCTGAGTGCTGGAATGTTAGCCGTGCACCACCATAGCTGGCAAACAGTGCATTTCTAAATTTCATCACCAATACTGTGTGACCTGCTTTTATGTGTGACCTGCTCACCATCCAAAAGTTTGCAGAGCGTCCTTTCTCTTCCTCTACCTTGTTTTTGTTTTTATTTGCAGTGTTGAGAATGGAGCCTCGGGGCTTGGCACATGGTAGGAAAGTGCTGCGCCACTGAGCTGTGTACTGCCGGCCACAGAGTTTCTTGGTAAAAAGAAACCAGACCCCAATATGACTTATGCTCACACTGTGCTCTCTCCAACAGAGGGGACAGCAGAGGCACTGGGCTGAGCGCTGTGACACAGCTTTAAGAGAAGCCAATCCTTGTGAGGCATCCCTGTAACACTACTCTTTGAAATTCTGATGACCAAATGCTTCAGCTTGTCCACTGGTAGAGCCACATGACTACGGAGTGCCCTAAGGCCCTGGCTACATTTTCCAAAGTCTTGCATCAGGCCCCCCTGCCTGGTCTGAGGATGCTCCTTCGCTCCTGGTTCCCAGCCCCCAGTGGCTCAAGGCAGGGCTTGTCTTTCCCGTAGAGATACTGCCTCTGTAAGAAGCAGTTTCAATCTTTTCCTTGCCACATCTTCTCAGCTGTCCTTTTGTGAAAACCAGGAGGAACAGAAACTCTGGCCAGGTCCCTACCAGAGGTCTCTGTGACAGTACCTCTGGAACTGCAGTGGGAGTCCTGCCAAGAGCCTTTAGAAGACAGATCAGGAAAGGGACCTGCTAGACCTATCGTGAATTCATAAGCTTTGATTTCAGAACACAGCGGCTCACTGCAAAGAGTCTGATGTAGAGTCAGAGCCCATTTGGGCTGTGATGTAGCTCAGAGACAGAGCACTCTCTTAGATGTTCCAGATGCTGGGATCAACCCCCAGCCCCAAGAGCCAGAGCCAGTGTTCCAGGACAGAGTTTAAAACTAGGGTTCTTGAGTTGTTCTGCTGGAGACTTAATCCCCAGACAGATGAGAACAGGGGCCCCACCTCCCATAGCTTAAATTTAAGAACTAAAGATATAAAATAGTTACTCCAGAACTGATAAAACTGATACTAAAAACAAAAACAGAAGAACAGAAGTATTATTGCTTAGCCATTTCTTTGCATTTTTATTGAATTTTTTTCTTTTTTAAAAAAAATTTGGTTACGACAACAAACTGGGAAACTACAATTACAATTCACAGATTGTGGCACGAAAAAAAACAATACATGCCATCAGGAATCACATCAGTCCCTTTCCTCTTTATTAATTCAAAAGAGAGTCCAATGCACAAGCATCAAATATGAGCACTGTCATTTTTCTTTTTTCTTAGAAGGGGGGAAAACATTTATTCTGGCAGCACTTTCACAATTCCAGGAAGTGGCTTTGATACCACAAGCTGCAGGAATAGAAACCATAACAAACTTGGAGGGCATTTGTTTGGGAGGCAAGGGACTCCTGGGTTGGAAAAAGATTCCTCTTGTGCTTAGTGAATTGCTTGTCAGCCTCGGCTGGTTGTTGAGTCTTCCTGGGTGTTGAAAGAGAAAATGGAATTTCCTACATAGATGGCAAAAACTCCTGCAGAGCAGAGTTTTGTATCTCCACCCTCTCCCCATGCTGAAGCAAGTTCTCATGCTTTTCCGGCGCTTACTGTGGTCACAGGACCCTCTATCATGCTGACCCTTAGGCCAAAACACACTGGATACCAAGATTAGCTCTTACATTGCTTCTCCAGGGTTCAGATGACAACATAAAACATCACGTGTGAAAAACGACAGCTACTAAGAACCTGGGCATTGACGTTCATGAAAATAGCAAACACTTTGCAGGATGTATCACCCAAAGGGGCAGCATTTCATTTCACAGGCCTTCTGGGAAGGGAGCCCAAAGTCATACATTTGAATGCTTTTTTTCCAAAGACTGGCAGAACTGGTTGGTGTAAGGAACTTTCTCATTCAATTAAAAAAAATTCTTATTGCCTAACAATTCAGTGGCCCACAAAGCAATTAAATGTTAACATTCTGTTTACATTTACACCCATGTGCGCACATGCGCGCGCACACACACACACACACACACACAAAGAACTCTGACTAAAGGATTAACCAGGTGAATTTTGTGACTGTGTTCTAAAAGGAAAATGAATTCTCAAACTTAAGGTGTCACAATCAAATAGTAAAAACAGAAAACCAGCCCGATCTGATTTGGTTTTAAAATCACAGGAAATCATAACTAGGGCTCTGGAATCAGTGACATTAACTCCTGGGGCACGAAGTTTGCCATAAAATCAACTTGAGATGTCTGAAAACGCAGTAACCTATTTTCATTTTAAAATATGTGGAGACCGTGTCTTGTGGCATTCCAAGAGTCAATACTTTATAAATGACGTGAAATAGTAACACCAGCGGAGTTGCTTTTCTCGTCTGGCACTGGTGAGAAACGGCTGGTTTTACACATTTTCTCCCTGTAGGTGGAGGAGGCAGACGTCAGCAGTCTGTGCGTTCTTCAGAGAACGTGTTACTTCTGCAGCACATGCTGTAGGAGACTGGAGAGCAATTTGTTGGGTTTGCTTTTTAAGTTTTACCCCCTAAAGATTTCAGAACAAGGGTCTTACCAGTTCTTTATGGTAAATTGGATAGTAAGAGATTCTGTGTGCAATAAATGGCAGGTGTGGGACCAGGCTCCCATCTGAAGGCTTTCTGCCTGAAGGTTCCACAGCCAGATGTGGAGGATTCACAATGCACTCTGCTAGACATTAGAATCTGTTCTAGAAAAGCAAGGTGCACGTTAGTAGAGCCCCTCGCATGATTCAGAACTGACTCCTGATGATCTACGTTACTGAAAGACTCAGGTTTTTCTTGGACTCTTTCCTCCCTTTAGCCTCCAAGAGTGCCCCATCTTTGCCCTGCATTAATGATAGGTGTCGAGAGAACAGGACTAATCCTGCCGTCCTAAGTCACAGGCAGGGACAGTAACAAAGAGACAGGTCTGAAGCACATGTAAAAGGATCTTGCTGATTACGGGTAACTTCTATGATCAACATTAAATCCAGGGGCTGATAGTTACTTCATTTTTCCTTTTTAAACTCAGAAGGCAGATTAAAGAATAAAGAACAAAAATGTCTCACGTTAAATAAGAAAATCAGCCCCCTCTTGGCACAGTTCTCATGCAAAATATTGCACCCAGTGTTAACTGATGCTAGAAGCTTCAAACTGTATAAATTTAAAGGTATTCGCATATTATAAAAATAAAGATAAACATATACATATCTTACACTAGTTACGGAACAGCAATGAACGTCGGGCGATCCCTCTTTCACATTGAACAGAACTGAAACTGAAGTGCTCTAAATACTGCCACCTGGACTGTAACTATGGCTTATATGTGCACAGAAAACAAAATCCCTGAGAAGCCATTCAACTCTTCTTCAAGTAGCGCTCTCCTTAGAGGATCACAGTTCTGAGGTTCAGTTTGTGAAACGTTTGCTCCATGTTCTCTCCCATCCTTCACGTGCCCCTCCAGGCCGGCTCAAGCACCCGGGTGCACCTTCTCTCATCTCACTGTGCATGCTCGGGACTCGGAGAGCGTGCCGTGAACAGAAGAGGACGGGCCCCATGGGCCCCACTGCACGATTCTTTCCATGGAAACCCCACAGCCAGGAAAGTCACTGGTTTCTGTGCTTCTCACCAACATTCTTCCTAGATGGGTAGATGAGAAGAAAGCACAGATATAACAGAAGTATACCACAGCACGAGTCCTTTTTTGGTATTTAGGAGATGGTATGTGACTTTTTTTATTAGTACATGTATGTAGTACACATGATCACACTCAAGGTGGGGAATTGGTACACATACAGGACACATTATAGTTCTTTTTTTATTCAGAGAATGATAGTCTTAACTGTCAAAAAAAAAGAGGAGTGATGGTTTTCTGCACAGATTTTGATTTCTACTTTTGAAGTCCTTATAAACACATAATTGGTTACTCTGGTCCCCACAAAGAAGGAGTCTTTTCAGTAAGTTAATCAACAAATGTTTGAGATGTTAACCTCGGGTCAGCCATAAAGCCAAAATCATGCCAACTGATTATTACCACTTATCCAACTGTAATGCCCCAGCTTAACAACAGCTCTAATTAAAAACACCAAATTAATTACAGAACTACTTCGCCATAAAAAACGCACATACTAAATAGCCCTTCAGGATTAGACATATAGACAGACAGTGAGAACGGAAGTCTGTCAGGACTAAAAAGCATGACTCCGTGTGAAGTGTTATAAGTGAAACTTCTTACAAGCAAGAACTTGATGAATATACAGTGAAAAAACTGCTGCATCCTCAGCTAATTAAACAAAGTGGCCTTCAATTCAGACAAAAGAGTTAGAGGACAACATGTCAAACATCTCCATCATTTATTCTGGCTTTCCTACAAACACACGCAATGTGATGTTTTTAAAAGTGTTGTGGCAACATTTAATAAAGCACTCATGGACAATGAACAAAAAGGAAAAGGGATTGTGATCTGATTCCCCCAACCCAATCCCTCTCAGTGCCCTTGATTTCATGGACATCCACGAGGACACCCTTTCAGCCCAGAGAAGAATCACAGGGGGTTAGCTAGAATTTAATAATGGACACATCACTAAACAAAGCTCTTTCTACTTAGTAACTACATGCCAACAATTCTGCCTTTCCCTGTATTGTAATCCCATCCCTGATGGGATTCCTACCAATCCCATCAGGTAAACTCCTGCATTTTACTAAGAGAGAAACCAAGGTTCCAAGAAGTTAAACAATTTCCTACAGAGAGGGTACCTACTAATGAGGGGCAGAGCCAGATCTCTAATGAGGATTATCTGGCTCCGAGGACAGCTTGACAGATAATACAGAGGTAGGACATTTGGGGCTTTAGGGATAGATTCGTATTTCTAAATGCTCAGTAGAAGAAGTTTGGAGATTGGTCTCAAATTCCAGTAATAATGTGCTACATTTAAGCTGTGAAGAATATGCCTATATATAAAACACAGGTCTCAACTTAGCAGTGAACTGCAGTCTGTAAGTTTTGGGTTCATGTGGCAGATGAGCTATATAAATATTTTCTTCACTGCATCTAATAAAGCTTCGGAAACACAGACAGTTGTGTCTAGCTGTCTGCTTCCCTGAGCCACTGAGAAACACAAGAACATCCAGTAAAGGGCATGGAGTGGGACTATCCCACCACCCATCCAGTTCAGAATTTTCCCTCATCAGTACCACTTCTCATGTTTGGATTCAGGAGTAAAAGAGCTGTCAAATGTCCAACTTTCTATTTCTCCCTGCCCTTCCATCTCAGTAAACTCATCCTCATCCTGCAGCGCTAATTCCCAAAATGTCCAGATTCTTCCTGGTGGAGACCCTGCTTACACACTTACTATGCCAGGTATTCCATTTTAATTTTAATCAGAAAATAACAAACTTGTCTGGTTGTTTTTTGGAGGCCCATTCTATTAGACTCCTGAGGACAGGGTCTGATTTGGCTATTACTGCATGCTCAAAGTCTGGCGAATATCTATTACAGGGCAAACAATAAAGACAATGAATAATAAGATGTGATTTAAAAAAGCCACCGGCAAAAGGAATCTAAGGCACAAAGAGATCATTCTTATCATGGCATATTAAGAAGTATAAAAGACATGTGCAGGGAAAATAACTGATTTGAATGGAAAGGGTTGGGGATGCTTCTCAGAGACAGTGACACATGACCTTGGTCTTAGGGGAAAAGGGCCTTTATTGGGTAGGGAAAAAGGTAGCAGCCAGCTAAGGACCAACAATGACCACGGACACTATAGTTGACTCCCCTTGCCAGCCATGCCCAGGATTTTAACTTGAGCCTGTAATCACCAAGAAACCTTTCAAGGCTTGTACATAGAGACAGATGTGATAGAGATTGACATTAAAAGATAATACTGGTTTGAAGGACAAAGGACTAGAAAGTAGAGACTAAAGACTCATGGAAAGCTGAAGAGGAAGTTACATGGCCAAGTACACTCATATCAAGGCACGCTGCTAAGACAGGACAACAGATGTTGGTGACAAATTGCATATAGGGAAGAGAAGAAGGCAGAAGGTATTGAAGCTGACAGAGTTCTTTCTGTCCTTCTATTTTTTAAATTTATTTTTTTTTTGAGTCAGGGTCTCACTGCAGTTCAGGCTGATTTTGGACTTATAATTATGTAACCCAGGTTGGCCTTGAACTTGCAATGGTCTTCCTGCCTCAGTTTCCCAAGTTCTGGGATTACAGGTGTGTGCCACCATGCCTGGCAAGCTGACACATGTCTAGCTTAGGCAGATGGGCACAAAGCTCTGCTATTACCCAAGACAGGAACAGATGGATGAATAGCTTTGGGGGAAGAAGGCCAGAAACTCAGTTCTGCACTGTGAAGTCTATGGGACCTCGAGGAGAGACGCCAGGGAAGATGCTGTAAATGGAGGTGCAGAGCCCAAGGAAGGGCTCAGTCTGGGGTCTCAGTCTCACATGCTTCCAGGGAAGAGAAGCTGACCCTCCGGTCGGGTATCAGAGATGCTTAGACTGAAATCAAGGCCACCACAGGCTTCACGACTCACATCTTTTATTTTCTGTGTTTGATGCTTTCCTATCTGGGGCTTGCTGACCTGGAGGGACTGGCCTTCTCGGGGTAAGCCAGTTACTAGACACTGTAAATAACTCGCCTGCTGTCGACCTTCCACATACAAACCAAACAGTGCAGAGCCTAGACCACCCTGCCTTCTCTGCCAGGTCTCACTGTCTGGGCCACTGTCCACCTGACCTAATCACTCCAGGGCCAGGGGCCAGACCTCTAGGGAGAGCTTCTACAGCCCAGAGTACCAAAATGATTCAAACCCACCGAACCTAAGCCTCTTTATCTGTCTGGCTTCCTCCTTCCCACGGAAACCATAATCAAGGTTTCTGCCCGCAGTTCCTCCCTCACAGCTAACCTGGATGCTTCCCTGGGTAGCTCTCCAGAGGGGTACCTTCCTGTGTAGCCTGCCCCTTTCTCCTGGGAACTGTAACAAACTTGTTTGCAATGGTAGTCACCTACTGATCTATTGGTCCTACTATACTACGGATCTGCAAATACATTATATTTTTTATTTATTTTCGGTACCAGGGATTGAATTCACAACCTCATGCTTCCCAGGAAAGTACTTGAGCTGCTGTGCTAAATCCCTGGCCCAATACATTATATTTTAAAGAACATGCATGTGAGAGTATTCAGCCATGAAAACAGAACTAAGCCGGAAGTCAGTGCAGATCCAACTGGGCGTTCAGTACCTGTGAGTATGAAAAGTGACTTTGTCTAGGACTCAGCAAGCCCTGCCTTCTCTGACTTAAATGGTTGCCAGCGAGCCACAGAATGCAGACATTTGTGACTATGAAAAAGGAAGGGCAAAGCTCATCTCTATTTCCTGAAGACAGAGTAGGCAGATTGAGGCTTACTGCAAGTGCTTTATAAATAGATCATTGTAAACTTGACCTTGACCCTTGTGTGGCAGTAGAAAAGAAGAGAAACTGATATTTTAATCCCTAGCACATGTTTATCTGTCTTGGACAGGTGCCTCAATTAATAAGCTGTTATTAAGTCAGTAGGTAGATTTTACCATAGTACACTATCTGTATTTACAGGGAAATTTATTTTTACCTTTATATGCTCACCATTTATCCCTAGTAGAAATGGCAGCAGGTAAATATACTGAGCATTTATTCTATGTAAGTAGTTATCCTAAATGCTTGATCTGCAATTGTCAGTATATATGTGGCAACCTGGTAAGTACTTCCCATCTTACATAACAGATATTTAGAGTTAGGGCATCAACAAATAGCAAAAATTCACACTCAAGAAGTATAACTCCAGAGCTCAAACTACCTGGTGAAAATAAATACAAACATTGCTATTAAAAATCTATATGCTGTGTGATAGCCCTGCTTAATATTAAAGTATATTCTTTTTTCCTAACAAGAATGTAAGATTACTTATCTGTGTAATGTTATATAGTAAACCAAATGAAAGAAGCAAGCAGTTTTCTACTCCTAATTCAAATGCAAGTGGATTCTGCAGGAGTAAAAACTTAGATATCCTAGTATACTGTGCTTTATAGAATCTCTTTATCCGTAACTCCCACTGCCTTGTTTTCCCCCCTCTAAACACTCCAGGTCCTCAGGGAGGCCTTATCACTTTACGAAACTCTCTGTGCTTCCCAGAGACTTACCCTTAAAACTTGGTGCTCCTAAAGTCACAGACTGGGCACAGTAAAAATGATGGCATAAGGGAAGGAAGGACTATCTTTTCCACTTAATTTTCCAAGAAAGTATGAAGATACCTAAGCAGAGAGGGGAAAAATTCCAGTATCAATGTGGCTGATGGGAGACTAACAGATCAGTGAAACACAATTCCTCCCAGCCCATAGAGCAGCCAGGCAATAAGCTCTGTCACTCCTTGCAACGGACAAAACGAATGCAGGTCAACAGGATCTAGCCCACAGGACACCTCCACACTGAGCCTTTTCTTCTGAACTACCAGTTCATCCCGTCTTCTACGTTTTAAAATTCTGTGTCAGTGAAAAAATTCTCCCCTGTGATCTAGCAAATTCATCTTACTCCATGCTTTTAAAATTATGTTATCAAATTCATGTAACGAATCTGAGTTGTTAGACACGCTTTGCCTGTTTATTTGGTGAAACAACCACCACTGAACCTTCATTCATTTTTAAAAGGCTATTTAAGTAGGTTGCAAATATCCTTACGTCATTCCAAAGTCACTAAAAATTCTTACATAAAGTGATGAACATTTGAGAATACTTCCAATAGCAATTAATTGGAATTAGCGAGATTCTTGCTTGAATAAGCACTGTACTATAGATAGGCAATGATTCAAGTTCTTATAAAGGAGTTTTGAAATGCGTATCTCTGCTTTGCCCTCATTGTTATTATTATTTCCTGGAAAAGGAGAAAGCTTAGCCCAACAATTTTCAGAGCAGCCCACTTTTGCTAATTCTATAATGCATAGCCTGCCAAAATCAGAATTAACATCCTCCACAAACTCCCGCTACTCCCTGGATGATGGAGCACACAGACAGGGCATCAACACTAGAGAATGGCAACTGTCAGGAAAAAAGATGATACATTCCCACTTCCTGTCCAAGAACGCACAGGGCGGAAGTGGGGCGATCCTGCCTGTACGCCCTCAGTGAAGTACTTTCATATGGTTACCTGCTGACTTCTGTCTTTCACTATAAATCAGTAGTTCAGCTGGGTTAGGACCATTTTCCACAGTCTACAGTTCAACCAGGGGAGGAGGAGGATGGTTAAAATTCTTTGGAAAGAATCTTTGAATCCTGCATCCTATAGGATAAATGAAAAGTAGCTGGCAAGTGGCCACCTGCCCAAAGAACCCCCTGGTCTTTGTGAAATGAAATACTAAGTCTTTCAATCTGAAGAACTACTAGGTGGAGACAGGAACTCACAAATGAAAATCTGAAAGAAGAACCTTTACTTTCTCCAGACTTTTTCCACTGAAAGTAAGCTGGTCTTGCTTGTGCTTGGGGTCTACATCCACACACCCGACTAATCACAGACTGAAAATATTAGGGAGGAAAATGTATTTGTAACGAATGTGGACAGATTGTTTTTTCCCTTGTCAACAGTTCCTACACTATATGCATATAACAGAACAAATATTTATAGAGCATTCGCTTTGTACGAGGTATTATCAACCATCAAGAGATGATTTAAAAATATGTGAAGGGATACTGTAAGCAATATGCAAATACTATGTCATTTTATGTAACAGGTTTGAGTATCTTCAGATTCGGGCATGCATAGGGTAGGGTGGATCATAGAGCCAGTCTTTCCATGGAAACTGAAGCATAACTGCATAATTTTCCCCTTTTGAAAACCCCAAACCCCTGGGCATCCCTTGGGTACCTAGGGAACAAATGGGCCGCTACTAAGAAGTTTTGACAGAGGCAGCTCCGCCTCCCCTCATCCAGTCAACAGGGGCTGGCAGCAGACGATCCAGGTAAACCCATCGCTTTTGGATTCACAGCCAGGGACAACATGTGTTCCTGAGAACTTTAATTCTCAAAAAATCTCTTTAATACCAATACATAAGGCAGCAAAATCGCTCTGGAAAGCGCCATTATATGGGATTGTATTAGACACAAATGAAGGGTTAGCATGAGGTTTCTTTTTGGAATAGTGAAAATACTCTAAAATTACAGTGTGGTGGTGAATTGCACAATTCTGTCAACATACTGACAAATCACCAAATGGGGAGATTTGAGGTTCATAAATTATATATTATTAGAACTTCAAAAAATGTATCTGACACAATCTGTAACTTCAAAGAAGTCAGAATCTTTTGAAACAACTCAGGTGAATTTGTTACTAGCTGCATGTTCATTTCATGTCCAACACAGATATCCTTAAAAGTCAAGATATTCAAAGTATTACTCACATTTCTATTTGACCACTAGCAAAGAGGATAAGAAGTCACTCAAATCCTGGCTAAGTAAACATTAGTTATCCTAGGATGCCCTGCTCCATAGATTCTCTTCATCCCTAATCCTCATCCCCTGCTTTCCTCCTAAGCTATCCAAGTCCTCAGGAAGGTTTTATCTATTTTATGAACTCTCTGTGCTTCCTAGAATATTACCCTTAAAAACTGGTGCTCCTAAGTCACAAATTGGTACAGTAACATGATGGCATAAGCACTGTCTTTTCTACTTAACTTTCCAAGAAAGTATGAAGATGCCTAACCACTACAGCACCATCATTTTACATTCGGTCAAAGGCAGGCAGTTAAATGACAAGGCTCAGATCTGACCCAAAACCGAGAATAAACTTAAAGAAGGCTTAGGATATCTTTTTTTAAAGTCATCATCAGATACAGATATAAATGACCCATAAGTAGGGTGGTTATCTCACTACCTAGAACTGCTCTGGTTGGTATCTGTCGTCCCAGCACAATTATTAACCACCTTCCATAATTTTCAATCTTTTCTTGACCTCACTCTGTGTGAGGACAGGGGGCCTGCGGAAGACTGACAGCACAACCTGTGTCTTCAGCGTACATCACTTCTGCCTTGGTGCTGCTACTGCCTCCTGATCAAAGAAAGGCCCAACGGCAAAGGTAAGGCCTCCCTGGCCAGAGCTTACCCACAGAGGCAGAGAGGAGATCTGACAGATTTGAGCCTAGTGCACACACGCTGGAATCTGCTGAATGACTTCTGAAATGCTCGGGCCTGGCCCCTTCCCTTGGAAACTTTGATACACATGCTTGATGGAGAAAACCCCGCCTTGTCCACCTCCCTACATTGTGAGGAACAATAGAGAAGTAAAAGACCACTGCACTGTGCTCTTGTGTACTTGTCTGGTGTTCCAAGACAGTGCAGCAGCCCCAATTCCCCAGTTTCCCTGCTTGCCAAGACACCAAGTCGCAGGTAGGAGCCTCGGCCAGGGGACCTAATGGCCGCCTCTACTGACAGCTACCCTTGTCCGTACCCTACAGCCTCCCACTCCAGGTCCCTGCCATGTGCTTCTGCTGTAGGCCTTGCATGGACCTGGCTGGTTCCAGGGATATTGGCTTTATGTTCATGACATGAGCTGTGGATGCTTAAGGGAAAACTGGACGGCATTAAACAGGCTTCATCTCTCAGCATACTCTTTTATAAATGACCCCCAAGAGCTGGGGATTTAGCTCAGCGGCATAAGCACCTGCCTTGCAAGCAGGCAGTTGTGAGTTCGATCCCTGGTACCAATAAAAAGGAAAAAGACAAAAAAAAAAAAAAATTAAAAAAAAAATAAATGACTCCCAAATAGGCAATTTTCTCCTTGCCTCTATATTAAAAAAATACCTGGTCAGAGATATGAAACTTTCCTATTTAGAGACTATTCCTTCATTTAGAGCTGAGAATTGTATCACAAAGCTGCCCTTCACATTATGATAGTTTAGGGACCTATTTCAAAATAAAACTACTTGGATTGCTAGGTCAAAAGTGGTTTAACACCTAGAGGTGTCCCCTCTGGCAACCACAGGCCCGAGGCCTCTCATTACCCAAGATATTGAAGCTGCTAGGCTTATTTAGGTTTGATAAGCTGTGAGAGGGAAGGCTGATGACATCTGGGGTGAGGGTTGTGTGTAAATGTCTTTCTGTGGCAGCAGAAGAAACCCATGGGAAAACACAGATAATGCTGGCTCAGTGCCATTGTGGTTCCTTGTGCAAAGGGGTATTATAACTGCATCCCTTACCCTGCCTATTAAATGCAATGTGTTTCTAGCAAAACAATAGACTCATGTCTTGCTTGGCTCAGGGGAATTTACATCAACGGAAAGTGTACTGAATGACTGTTTCCATTCCATACCCAACTGCTCATTCTTATCCTAAATGTGTGTGGAAAAATGGGGGCCAATGTGTTCAAATTCAAGAAATTAGAAAAGCAGTAAAATTTATGTTTTTTGATCTGCTCAGGCAGGGGATAAATATTCTGGTTAACATGAACTTACTATGTCAGCCTGCTAACATTTAAGAAGCTCTTTCAGATTTCCTGGTGACTGAGGGTCCTGTCAGTGATGGAGCAGACGAGGCCACCTTAGCTAACACAGCCCTCTGAATATAGATTTAGATAGGAATTTCTCTTCGGTGTTAAGTGATATTTTCCAGCCAAGACGGATTAGGGATGTTCTGTTTAATGTTACCCAATTTAGGAAAAAGGGTTCCACACACTTCCACTGCAGATTGTGATAACTGGAAGCCATGACAGCGCAGGAAGTACTCCGAAGCTAGGACAGCTGTCACTTCAGGGATGAGGCACGGCTCCTACCACACAGGGCTCTGGCAGGTGGCCAAACAGCAAATCACAAGATAAGATAACGAAAAAGTCACAATTCTCAAATGCAAACATTATAGAGTTGTGTTATAAAAAGCTACGGACAAAAAAAAAAAAAAAAAATGATGTGGCCAACCAGGAAGAAAACTAAAGCCTGCTGCAGGAACAGGAACACCTGGCTGGAAAAGTCGCGTTGTTGAAAGCACGAACATATGAGATCTGACACAGAGATTGCTGGTGCTACTTTTCAAAGCGGTAGGCATGTGTGTATTTTACCTTGCTTTAAAGTGGCCTTTTGGTTCTTGGTACTCCAAAAATAAATACATGGATTTAAAACCCAAACGGAATGAGTTTTATCTACAATACTAAGCTTACATTCTATACAAAAATTAGTTTGTATGTGTTCATTTTCTGACTATCCACATTGGGAAAAGGTAAAGCAAATGGCACAGTTCTTGATTTTCAGGGACTCATCAATCAGAGCTCTGCAGAAAAAAAAAAAAAAGTTTTTCTGTAGACTTTTCTTATTTAATAGACCCCCACTATTGTTTGAAGAGACTCATTTTATACTACAATGACAGAATTCTAAGAATTCACCTAGGAAAGTGATTGAGCTTGGGCAAAACCTAGCAGTCTCTCAGCAAAGCACATAACTGATCTGCAAGAAAATGCTCATAACTGCAAATATATTAGGAACCTATGAACTATATTAGAAACTTATGTTTATTTTAAATAAGGAGACTGTGTGGTTTGTGAATGGTATCTCAAAGCTGTTAAAAATGTTCTGACATTATCAGGAAAATATTTTAAAAAGGAAACTGTAAAAGAGAGAAAGTAATGTTTGTATTTTGCTGCATAAGTCACGACATTGATGTCACTCCGAAGAATCCTGTCTGCCCTGCAGGATTTTGCAAGGCTTGTGTGGATGCGGGTGAACTTGGCTTTTGGTTATCACATCTACAGAACCAGGATCAGGAGTGAGGACCAGGGGCAGTCAGGCTCTGCCAACTCACTTAGAACACGGGCTGATCACAGTTGGCGTAGGTGGGTAAACCAAGGCCACATTCACTCTCTCGCTGCCGTTCTTGGGGCAAATGATCTCTGCCACTCCTTCTGGTCTAGGCTGGCTCAGCAACTCCCCTGCAGGACGAGAAAGAAACATACATTAAGAGGTGTCCCCGAAAAACACAACTGTTTTCCATAGAGAAAACCTGCTAGCGGAGGGACAGGGAGGAATTGGGGCAGGTAGTGGCCAACTGGAGAGTCTACAGACAACCAAGGCAGAGAAGCAAGATGTAAGTAGAACAGAAGAGTTGCCTGGGCTCCCGTGCCTGGTCTCATCTGCATTACCATGGAGAAGGTTAGATGCGACCATGTTACAGCAGAAGGCTGGTCCTGCGGATACGGCATCTACCATGGTCCTGCTCACATCGGTCACAAAATGACTCCAGTGAGGCTGAGCTGCCTCGGGGTTCATCTTTAGGATTTGGGGCAGATGGAGACTCGCAAAGCTAGCAGCCTCAACAAAACCTGGCACAAATGACACTGACATACGCAGACTAAAGGTGTTAACAGGGTAAACAGAGCCACGCTGCCAGCCTTTTCCAGACCAGCAAATTTCCTGGATAGATCCAAAAGGAGCTGAGAGCTGCGACAAGCACTGTCTTATGGCTAATTGGACCTATTAAAAACAGATGATCAACTTAATGGAGGACCACAATACCTAGAGAAAAGCGGATATTCTGCATGCCCCCAGTAAGGTAGGCATCTCTCCAGCTGAATGATTAACTCTTTAACAGCAGCAATTACCTCCATTCCTTGTCCCTCACCCCCACCCTTCCACTCCCTGGCCCTCTTTCCCCAGCACCCTGTCCTCTCTCTGTCCAGGAGGCTCAAAAGCACTCAAGAAACAGCTGCTGCCTGACAATGCTACATGATTTTGCATACACTGCCCTACTTAAACCCAGAAAGTAAATAAATCACACCAAGGATGCAAAAGGTATGCCAACAGGGAAAGAAGACTACTGAATTTCAGACTTTAATTCTTGGTGGCCATCACTTCTATTGTTCCTTTCAATTTTAGAGACACGAAAGTACATGCTGGTAAATAATGATAAAACATTCCTCTGTTCAAAACAGAGTATTTCTAAATGACTCATCTTCAACAGAGTTCATGAAGATGGAACATGCCCAGGTGCCAGCCCCACTCTAAGAAATTTAAATGTGTATTTCACTTCATTTTTGTATGTCCTGAAGAGGGTCTGTCTTCGTGGTTGAATTCAGGGAGGTTAGGTGATGCACACACAGGAATGCAGAAGTTCCTCTCCGGGCCCATTACCCTTACCACCAGCCTGTGGTATCTCCCCAAAGCAGGGACTGCTTCACTAAGACCAAACTCATCTTTCCTAGAGGAGCAATCTACAATCACTATTTTAAAACAATACACTTAAGCACTGGCATATTTATACCTTTAGGAAAGGCATTAAATTTCCTGATTGGAATATTTTATATGACTTTGCATAATAGGAACTGAATGTAATTTGAATTCTTTCACCAGACTAATATAAACACCAAGCTACTGAAAAAGTCAATTTATCACCTTTACCTTATCTCATGCATGCACAGGGAGTAGAACTGTACTCTAATACCAGCTAGGAAAAGATCCTTAATTACAAAATACGTGCAAAAAATGTAAACATCAAGTGCTAGTAAGATGAACCCAAGTAAGAGCATGTCAAGAGCAGACTGAACTCTGGAAGCCCTCCCACTCCAAATGCCACTCAAGAAGTCAGACCTTCCCTGAGTTTTAACAGATCTGCCCCAAGCCCTGTAACAGCTGTACAACTTTCCACCACAGAGCCAGGACCACGACGCACTGCTCTGAGCACCCGGGGCTGGCCTCCCCTCACTTGGCTCCTTGCCTGCTATTTTAAACCTCTACTTTTGGCCTTAATATCTTCCCCAACGCGTGGGCATGGACTACTTGTCCCTGCAAAGTCTACTGACTGAAAACTCACACATGCCTCGGTTCTGTCTGCTTTTGGTTGTCCGGGTAGCAAGGACAACTCCTGCAGATGTGAAGCCCCTGTCCCTGGCACCAGCCTAGCACAGCTGGCTTCTCTGCTGTAGCTTTTGGTGAGCAGAAGATCATTCTGAACAAAAGTGGAAATAATTTACAGATTATTAAGCCTAGGGCTCCAGTTTCTATTAAATCAATAACTTTACTGACCCTCCTCACAGAACCAGGTCATTGGTTTAGTTTGGGTCCCATCCCCAGCAAGGAATTATTCATGTGTTAGAGACCGGGTCTCTTGTATGGTGGTGGTGGGACCATTAAGGGTCAGGACCAAGTGGGAGGTACTTAGGCCATATGTAACACCTGTCCATTCTCTGGCTTCCTGTTTTCCATAATGATACCTTCAAGAATGCTCCATCACTGACATCTGCCATGAGGTAAGGCAGCCATAGAGGCCCTTACCAGAACCTACATCATGTTGTTTGGATGTTCAGCCTCCAAAACTACTGGCTAAATAAACCTCCTTTCTTTATAGAGTTGTCTGACTAAGTTAGTTTGCTATAGTCATGAAAAGTAGACCAAAGCACATGTAAATTTGCATGAAGGTAAAAACAATTATGAATTTTTAACTCACTCACTTGACACTAATACTCACTTGACACTAATAAATATGGAGTACCAAAAGAATAATTCATAATCTCAGTTATACTCATGTACTCCAGCAACCTGTTCCATGATACCTGTATTCTTAGGGTTTAAGAAAGATGCACAGTTCTGAGAGTAAAACCCTAAGAAAATGGCTTTTTCTTCTCAAGCCTGTATTAAGACAAATATGAAGAATAGTTCATCACGCGTACATTCTTGGTAAAAATAAGGAAGGTAATCCTCAAATTCAATACAAACCTGGTCCTCAAAATAGAAAGTGCATTCTTTGGCTGAGCAAATACCAACTGAACACTTACTATGTGTGAGGCACAGATACAGGAATTTAAGGGATGGTCTCTGATGCTGAGGGTCTCAGTCTCTGCAGGGATGACATATGTTCAAGGACTTAATCCCACAAAATGGGTGCCCCAAAGAGATTCAAATGAGATACTAGAAGCAGAATAAGACATCAATTATTTTGTAGGATTGGGAAAGATCTCAAAAGATGGCACACATTTAGTTAAAAGGCCCAATGTTCCGTATCCAAAGGCCTGTGGGCCCTAAGGCAGCAGTGCTGGAAAGTATTATAGACCTTTAAGAGGTGGGGCCTTTTGGGACTCTTTAGATTACTGGAGGGATGCCAATGGAACTGTAGGGGTCCCAGTCTTTTCTTCTCTGCCTGCTAATTTGAGAGCTGCCCTTGCCAGAGACACAAACCAACGGGTTAATCTATCTTGAGCTTGAATCTCCAGAACCATGAGCCAAATTAAATCTCTCTACACTGTAAAAGCAACCTGTGTCAGGTATTTTTATCATAGTCATGCAAAGCTGACCTATATACCCTACAGCACTTGTCATCAGAATGGAGAAGAGTATATGCACAGTACCATACTATTACGCTCTAATATAATGACAAACCGAAAACAATCCTGAGTTAACCAAGGTAGAAAAACAATGGTCACAGTAGCAACTAACATTAGTGATCACTTACATGCTTGATATTATATAGCTAATATCTCACTTAAGCTTCACACTACCCTCATTAAGTATGTCACTATCCTCATTATATAGGAGAGGAAATGGGCTTAGACAGGATACTAAGTTTTCCAGTGGTCACAGAAAAAAACAGCTGAGTTGAAAGTTGAACTCAACACTGTCTCACTCAACATTTAACTATGGTATAAGGTGTCATAGTATCCTATGAGAAGGACATCTTGATAATTAAATAACACATGGAAAATACTAAACACTATTATCTGGAATCTAAGTCATGATACTATTATTACAGTGATGGAAAGATGCTTTTAAAGCTTATTGTGATATTTCATATAAGTACATAAAAACACTACACTGGGGATTAGATCACAAATTATTACACTGCCCCACCAGAAATCTGAAAAATTCAAGTGGAAAAAATTTAGATTTCCTTACATATCCGACATCCCTAGCATAAAGTAAAAAATCCTAAAGTTAGTGAGAATTGTTTTAAAAAAAAATCATAGTATATTAGCAACAGACTAAGAAGAAATATACATTTGACTTGTTGGCAAATTTCCATCTTTAGGAATTTCCTTCAAGGAAGTGAGCATTTCTTTCTGACAAAAATTATATAGCAACTGCATAGCAACACTAGTTATAATGAAGAGAAAACTTGGTAATTCCTTAAAATGTCTTATTAACAGGCAAATGGCTAAAAACCATGGCATGTTAATGAAACAGAATATTCTGTAATTATTGAGTGTTATGACTGACATTTCCACGTATATTTGAAAGCATATTCTAATGAAAATTTCAGCGTGAAATACTTTGTAAGGAGGGAAATGTCTGCTTTAAATGTCGATCTCTTTCCTCTACTGGAGATCTATCCTTGTGCAGTTTCCAATGCAATGAGCCTTTCTGAAGATGCAGAAATGTGGTCCGCTGAGGGGAACACTGCCTCTCCTAAGGCCAGCACACAGTCTCCTGTGCCCACTGAAGTCATGAAAACTCCTGCCTTGCCCAGGCTCAAAATTCCTGCCATGAGAATGCTGGCCAATTCTTATCAGCTCTTCTTCCCTCTATGGAAGAACAGAACACCATGTTTCAGTAAGATGTTTTAAAAATAAATCAACAAAAGGCAAGTGAAACAAGCCCCATTATTCTGCTTATTATCAGAATTCTCAAATACAGCAAACATTACACAAAGTACTAAAAACATCATATGGACAACCTAAATTGTATTAATACAGAAAATCAAAATATTTTTCAGAGCAAATAAAAAGCCATTTCCTGATGTAGAATGACCAATGACACAAAAGAAATTGTCATTCCCAGGTACTTGTTGAATTCCAGTCGTGATTTCTTTTAAAGTAAATTTCTTTTAAAGTAAATAAATAACCCTCAAACAGCAAAACAAAACGACCAAGCACACCTTCCTATGCTTGAAGCTTCGAGGAGAGTCTTAGGGTGTACGAAGAGTGTAACCTCCAGGCCGCTGGGC